TGCTGAAGTGTTTTTTTTTTTTTTTGTGAAAAACTAATCCATGTTCTTCTCTCAATCTATCTATGTATATTATTCCGCATCTATCTCATTTGATCTCATCCTCTCGATACTCTATGTACAGTACGGGGGAACACCAACCAGACCTGGAACTCTCCCGAGCCCACTTCAGGGCGTTCCGCTTAACGGGGTGATAAGAGCATCCCCCCTTAAACCGCCAGTCCACGGCTCCAGCCTTGCTAAGAGGCACTCTTCGCCTGGTCCTGAAAGTTTGGGCCATTGCGTCGGTCAAAAACATGATCAGCTGCCGACGTCACGTTTCAGCCTCCGAAAGGGGCTCGCGGCTGATGTATGGTGTGTACCGGTGGTTTAAGCGCATCCTTGTGTTGAAGGCTCCTTCTATCATTGGCGGGGAGCTGCACCTGCTGGAAATAAGGGCCAGATTCCTTGTCGGATACAAGAGAATTTTGTCAACTGATCCGGGTAAATGAATGAATGTAAATGATGAGCAGCATTGATTGCCCTGGTGCAAGGGGATTAACTGCCCATCTAGAGCCAAGGATGTCACCTTCTTTTTTTTTTTTTTTTTTTTTTTTTTTTTTTTTTTTTTTTTTTTTTTTTTTTTTTTTTTTTTTCTGCCTAGCCACTAATCCCAACCTACTGACAGTAAAGTTCTAGCAGCAGCTCGGGTTGTTTTGCTTTTAATAAAAAAAAATAAAAAAAAAGGTTCCTTCCCCCTTGAAGAACCCTAAAGACAGCAGCACTCCGCTACCAGTGCCTCACGTGTTTCGAAAAGAGGTAGATAGAACAGGTCATCAAGCAACCCAGAAAGCCATCCTTGGATCCGATCAATCAAGCTGAATCCAAGCAAACTACCCATCTAGAGCCAAGGATGCCGCCCTGCCTAGCCACTAATCCCAACCCACTGACGGTAAAGTGCCTTCCTGTCCCTGCCCCGTTGAAGAACCCTAAGGACGGCAGCACTCGGCTACCAGTGCCTCACATGTTTGGAACAAAGGTCGCAGATGGAAGAGGTCATCATGCAACCCAGCAAGCCATCCTTGGATCCGATCTAAGAAAAGTCGGTCAATCAAGACGAATCCAATCAAACCCAAATCCAGAGTCATCCACGAGAATGAACGAATTGCCACCAGGTATTGGCCAGTATGCGAGAAGGAAGAGCAGGGGGGGGGCAGGGAAACCCTCTCAGAATGTCCCACTGTTTACAGCCCAGGGGCTGTGCCACGTGGAAGAAAAAGCACCATATCATATGACATGTTCACTCCATAGCACAGGGATGGAGGAGGCACTTCCCCAGGAGCACAGAGGCCCAGACTTGGCATCGGTTTTGGTGCTGCTGTTGCTGATATTCGCTGATTACCAAATTTCCCGGACCCTGGATGCCGCGATCTGCGCGGGAATCACTGTCGTCGTAAGTGTGGGAAGCTTTGTCGGAAGAGTCGTGCCTGCTGTTGTTGTTGTTGTTGGTGTTGCTGTTGATGGCGTTGATGTTGCTATTATCGGAAAGTTTCCGGGTGTCCCCGCGGCAGCGGATGTCGCTGCAATCTGCGCAGAGATGGCTGTCATTGTCGTTGATGACGTGGCAGTTGTTGATGATGTAAGAGCCATACTGCGAGATCATGATGCCGCCGTGATCTGCACAGGATCAGCAGCTGTTGTTGTTGTTGATGCTGGTGTTGGAAGCGTTGTTGTTGTCGTCCCTGTCCGTATTGATGTAGCTCATGTTGATATCGTAGATCGCTGGATGTCGCCGCGATCCAACCTTCTGGAGCTTGAAGATGCTGCAGTTCATTCTGCCCTTTCGTCATGTCACCACCGAATCGATGCAATTGCTGTAAAATAGTCACTGAATAGTGCTTGTCCCTCCTTGAAAGGTCATAGAATTTCTGCATGAGTGCGTGTGCCTGCGTCCAATCAATAATATCATCAAGTCGAGGATCCGGCCCTTCCTTAAGCCACCAGTACTTGGCCCATACATCGGCCGCGGTGCTTACCCGTTAACGCGCCGCATCTTTAGGGCTTCGGGGTACCGGACCACAATGGCTGGAAGCCCAAGCCAAAAATGAAACGAAAAATAGTGCTAGCGGTTCGTACGAACTCGGTGCGCGGGGTGCTTCGAGGCCCGGCATCTATAGCTGGGCCCAGTACTGGTGGTTTAAAAAGCCCAGATGATATCCAACATTTGCTATGCTGTCCAGCCATTCAACCAACCAGGTCTCCCCCCAACAAACCTCGGACAGTACCCACACGAACTCCGGCAGCTCCTGCCCACCCTCCTCCAGGGTTGACGACCACTTTTTCCGCCTCTCGTTGTGGATCCCCCTTCGTGTAGATCCCCTGATCCCCTAATCCCCCTTTCACGCCATCTCCACGCCAGTTGGCGCTGTTGTCCTCCACGTGTAGACATTGGGTCTGGCTCCACTATTGTCCACTGTACAAAATTCTGGACAGTTCGTGGACTGCTATGGGAAGCGTACAAAAATCGTGGAAACGCGGCATCGCTCCACTTGCCTTGCACTATACAAAACCCGAGTTCGTGAGTCCCCTACGTGGGCACAGCACTACAAGACACAGCCTCGGTAGCATTTTGTACGCCCAGACTCCAGGTTCGCTGTCCAAAAAGGCGGAGGGTCCATGGGTTCCTTCGAGGACCGTCCACGAATTTCAAAGTACTTGTGCAGGCTGGGAGCTATACAAAACTGGACAGTCAATTGTCCACGGTATTTCTGACAAATGTCCAAGCCATTTTGCACACCGATAATGGACAGCAAGTGCCGTCGCACTTTTTGTTTTTGATTTTTTGAAAAAAAAAAGGCTAATTCTTTAAGCCCAACCAATTCAATTACCTGCCGAATTTGAACAGGACGGCCTTTCAGGCCTTTTTATTGTCATTATAGTATTACGGGGAACCCCGTAGCAGCCACATCCGTGCTCAAGCCTCCAACGAGGGAACATGCCAGAGCTGCACCCACCAGCAGGTGCGATACCTGCTACAGCAGGTGGGCGATACCGGCCAGGGGTCAGCCTGTAGCATCAGGACCGAGCTTCTTTGATGGGCCAGTCACTGTGCCTCCCCTCCGGTACAGTGGACAGTAGTGGAGCGAGGCCCCTTCACCCGCTGCTGTCCTCCACGTGTCTACATAGGACATAGACATTCACCCGCCGACCAGTCTCCTACTTTCCCACCAATAGACCTACTCAAAGTGGCAACCACGTCAGCATGGGCGACATAGCCCCCATCCAAAAGCCCTTCAGTAAGGTGTGGCCCGGCCAGTCGCTCTAAAGGTAGCCGAGCCCTGGTGGCTGCGATGGCTCTCCGACAGTGTGGGACCCTCAGGAGTGCCAGCCTCCTACAGCAAGCCAGGAAACAAGCAGACCAGTCAGCGGGGATTGAACCCACGAGCTCGTGAATGCCCGTTGCTCGATAGAGGGCAATTTTTTTTATTTTTATTTTTTTTTAATTCGCTATTTTTTTTTTTCCCCTTCTCTCAAATCTTTCATCATCTGTCAAATACGTTCAATTCACCTTCACTACCTACCCGCCACTACTCCTAAGGCTTATACAGGGGACCCCCGCGACCATAGCTTTGTTGTCTCCCTCCCCTGGTGCCCAAGAATGACGCCCGTAAATGGAGAAATGGCCAAGAAAAGGGGGCGGGGGCGGGAAGCCACGGAGTCGTTCACAGGGGACCGCTACCGGACCAGCCTTTCTCCGATAGTCGCGTGCATCTGGCCCGAAAGGTGGACTACGTACTGCGTCTTAATCATGGGTCTGATGACCATTTACGTTCGGGAAAAGAGGCTTGGCAGTAACGGTTGCTCTTCGTGTGACATGCGTTTGCCGTTTAGCCAAGTTGAAGCCAGATTAACGGTCGGTTGCATGGCACTGATAGTGGCGCCAGTTCGCGGTAGCGCTACGACGGGCTCGTAGCGATCGATAACGCGCTATTCGGTCTGCATTTGGGAGAAGCGGCAATCGTCGACAGCTGAGGTGGCGAAAAAAAGACAGAGGAAATTTTCAGGTCGCCATAGCCAAGAAAGGAGACCGACGACTTCTCCTCGTGGTGTAGACAGGAGAGCCCCACTAACGATGCTGGTCCTGGGTTGGGCAGAATCAGCCATGTAGACCAGGTACCTGGAAGCATCTTCGGGGAAAGTGCGGCGCCCACGGAAGAGCGTGGATGAACAGCGAGCATCGGATTAAGTAATAGAGCAGGAAACACGAAGACGGCAAGGCTCGGGCAGTGAGCGGGAGGCAACACGAGCCAAACTGAGGAGTCACGAAGACGGTAGGCCACGACAACGCGACAACAGCTACAAGCATGGTGATGGTGAGTCGATCAGCGGATGGGAGACAACAGGAGCAGGGCGGCAGAGGGGGTAGGTGGCTAAGGGGAGATCGACAGTAGCTGAGGCGACAACGGCTACGGACGACCACCAGAGAAGGAGGAGGCAAGGTATGAGCAGGCATCATGGACAACGACGAAAGGAGCGAGCAATAGCAGCGAGCGAAAATGGCATCAGGGACAACGACGAAAGGAGTGAGCAATAGCGGCGAGCGATAATAACAGCGGTGAGGGAGCAGGAGATAGCAGCGAAGGGGCGAGCGATAGCGGCAAGGTAACAAGGGGGGAGTAGAAAGGAGAAGGAGGAGGCAAGAAAAGAGCAGGCATCAAGGACAACGAGGAAGGAGCAGGCGATAGTAACAGCGGCAAGGGCGCAGGCGATAGCAGTGAAGGGGCGAGCGATAGCGGCGAAGGCCCCGGGCAACAGGCGACTTCCTTTGGGGCCTCGGGGGTCATAATCCCCCGAAGAAGGAAGCGAAGGAGCTCGGAGGTGCGCAACTCTCCTAACCAGACCCTTCCCCCGTCCCGCCTCTCCCCCCAACCCTGCACCCACCCGATCCTCGCGGTCCCCCCCCTCCTATCCCGTTCTCTCCCCGCGTCTTTCCTCCCGATCCCTCTCATGACTCCCGTCTCTGGCCCACTCCCTTCTATCCATGATCTCCCGACCTTGATTCCGCTTACCCACTGATTAACCGCCCCCGACCTCGACCCCGTCTACCCGTTGATTGCCCCCCAAGCCCTGTCCCGATCTGCTCCCCCTCGTCCCGCCCCCCCC